AAAGTAAGAATACTTGAAAAATTATTTAAATGCCATTGGTGAATTATTTATGTATATTGATTCATGACAAAAACCTAGTTTTAACCATTTACCTTACTAGATTTGTAGGTTTTAGTCTCGTCATCTTATACTATGACACTTTTAACTTTTCACCAATTAGAATTAAAGAAAAATAGTTCTCACTTATAATATTTTATTAGTTCTGTTGGTTGATTGTTGACTCTATTAGTTGACTATTAATTAACTGTTAGTTGACAAAAATCTACTTTCAACTAATAAAGTTAATAGTCAGTTAATAGAATTATCTTATTAGCTGATAATTAACTGTATTAGCTAACTATTAATTAATTATTAGTTGTCAAAAACTTACTTTTAATTAATAAAATCAATAATCAATTAATAAAATTAACAATTAATTAATAGAACTAATAAAATATTATAAAATAAGAATTATTTTTTTTTAATTCTAAGATATAAGGGATTAAAAGTGTTATAATATAAGGCGATGAGTTAAAATTTATAAATCTAATAAGCTAAAGAGCTAAAATTAAACTTTTGGCATTGGTTCATATCTCAGTCGTTTTGTTTGCCGGTTTGTGCATCTCATGGGCTGGGCCATGATGACCCAACAAAACTGAACTCAAAAGCGAATTAGTTCGGATTTTGCAGCGCGGACTACGTGGAGATGATCTGATCCGCGATTGCTTTGAAAAAGAATCTACGGTGTAGATTAGATCCTACATGCGAAATGTCATAAATGCCCTTTAAGCACAGAAAAACTAAAATCATTTCCTCACACGATTTCCTGCTTGGCTCTTCACCTCTCCTCCCCTCTCTCTTCCCGCTGCTCCGTTCCTCCCCTACCCGTGCGTTGGAAGGGACGCCTTGCGCCGGATGGTGTCTAGAGGATAGATCTGTAGAAACTTTGCTCGGTTTCCTGCTGCTTTGAAGCTCCGTTCGGTTTTCGTAGGTTCCAGTGGGGAATTGGTTCCCACGACGTGTTCTGGATCTGCCTTTTTGCGTCTGACGATGTCAACGACTTTGTTTGGGTGAGTACTCGTTTTCTTTTTCTTCTTTCTTTCTTTTTTTTTACACTGTTCCGTTCCTGCCTTAATCGTCCGGTGGGAGGGTGGCGCACTGGACGGTGCTCTCGTCGCCAGCTGGCTATCCAAGAGCGTCGATCTGAGGTCAGATCTGGCTGTTTCCCACTGCTTCGAAGCGCCAATCGTTGTTCGTACGTTCGAGGGAAATGGACCAACAGCATGTTCTGGATCGTAACTGTTGGGCATTGATGATGTCGACGACTACGTTTAGGTGCGTACTCGCTGTTCCCTTTTTTTAATTATTATTTTTGTTTCTTTTATGTGTCTTTGATTTTGGTAGGGTTATTAATTTCTTATTGAGATGTTTGTGTTCTGAGAAAATGTAGGGAATAAAATGCTTTTTTATCTGTATATTTTAGAAATCAATTTCACGTTTGGTAGTTTGTTATGTTGGCGTTTTTTAAGTTAATTCGTGAGAATGTAAAACTGAAAAATGGAATGGCTGCCAGAAGAACCTAGAGTTGAAATTCATTAAAAATGGCAGTAAGGATGCAGTTTTCCTTCTTATCTGCACTTCTATGATGTTGAATCTTGTTTTCAGGTGTTTTAGTTTACTCCTAAGAATTTGATAGCCAAGAACAATGCGGGAAAAAGCATGGAATTTAATTGTTCATTTGCCTTTATTATTTTCCCTTCACTTTTATGCTCCGTTGCTGAAAATTCCTACCAAAACCTATATATATAATCCCTAATTTTATTCCTTCGCCTTATGCCAGAATTGGTAAGTTTACAATTGTGTATGCCAGTGCTTCCTATTTGATAAATTCAATTGCTTGACACATGGAACTATGTTTGTGATAAATTGACTAACCCATAGTTGATCTGGTACCCACTAGAGACTAGAGAGGCTGTAGTTACTGCTACAAGACATTTAAAACTTGATTCTTCTAATTAACCCTTTCATTGTATAATTTGTTGATAGAGGAAGTAAACAGAAGTTCCTTGTTTTCACTGGTTTCAAACAATGTTTAATGCTGTGTGATGCTGTTATATTTTAAATTCATTTTTCTGGTCAGAAGATTTTTCTGAAACTCTGAATGGACTCTCAAAATTTCTTTGCTACCTGGAGCTGATTTTATCATTGCCCACTTGTAAATATATTTATAGTTTGAAGAACGTTGTTTAAATTGAGGCAAATGAAGGGGAGGGATCATTGCCTTGGGACAAGCACAAGCACGTTTATGATCTAATGGAGAATAACAATTGGGCAGTTTGAGCAAATTGCTTTGAGGAGGTAAGGTTTTATATTTTGTTTGGTTTTCTTGTAAATTG